TTTCTGAAAAATTGCCCAGTGAATTCATGTTATAAAGTTTTCACTGCTCTGAAGTCAAAGTTCATAGTCTGTAAACACTGAGTTTGCTATACAGGAAATCTTGTTTCAGAATCATGTCATCTGCCATTATAGATGACTTGCTTGTTCTAACCATTCTTTCACTCTTTTATAAGACAGCATTAAAGTGAAGCCTGTGTTGTCACACATGCTGGATTAGTTACATAAAGCTTAGAAATGTTGCAAAGTGAAATAAGAAAACTTTAGAACTTAACATGTAATGTAAAAGTAAAGATTTCTGGCAAACTGTTTTTCTTTAGCAGAAATAGTTATATATATATATATATATATATATATATATATATATATATATATGCACATATATATATATACATATATATATGTAAACAAAACCAATTGGAAGTGGGTTTCCACCATTCTCCTTTTCTTGACAGTGCTTAATAATGACATAAAAGTTAACTAGAATATTTGACCTGTGTCTGGGCTGGGTGAAAATCTGCATTTTTAAGGTCACTTTAAGATATACTACCATCCTCCTACCCACACTTCCATTTGACTAGTTTGTTTTGTTTTATTTTTGTTTTCCTAGACAGAGTTTCTCTGTAGTTTTCTCATACCCTGTCGTAGAACTTGCATTGTAGAGCAGGCTGGCCTCGAATTCTTAGAGAACCACCTGCCTCTGCCTGAGTGCTGTGATTACAGGCGTGCGCCACCACTACCTACCTTTGTTTTTGGTTTTATCTTTGCTTATTTGTATTTGTTTATTTGTCTGTATGGTATTTTCCTGTGTGTGTGTGTGTGTGTGTGTGTGTGTGTGTGTGTGTGTGTGTGTTTGTACATCTGTATAGGTCCCCTTCCCTGTAAGTATGCATGTGGAAAAAAAAAGAGCAATGGCAGATGTCTTCCTCTGTCCCTCTCTATTTTATCTTGAAGTCAAGGTGTCTGACAAAACCCGGAATTAAGCATTTTAGTGCGGTTCAGGAATCCCCTTGCCTCATATTATGTATGTGGATTACTATGCCTGCCTTTTATGTGATTGCTGATGTTCTAAACTCAGGTCCTCATTCTTATGCAGCAAGCATTTTACCTGTTGATCCATCTCCTTAGACCTTCCTTTTACTCTTTAAATGGGGTTATTGGTGTTTCTTGCTGTGCACAAAACCCCAGCTGGCCTAAAATTTGCAGTTCATTCTCCTCAGTCTCTAAAAATCTGGTATTTCAAGTAAATCCAACCTTTATTTGTTAAGTGTTCACATCATGACTGTTCTACAAATAATTCTCATACTACAAAGGTTGAAGTAGGATATTCCTATTATGAGTTTTCAAGTGTGGTTTTATGTTTATTCTTTGACCATCAAACTGCAAGATAAATTTATTATTGGTTCTTGTTATTCTCAAACTACAATGGATCTCTAGCAGTGTTCAGGCATAGCTGAGATGGGACCCCCACAGCTTGTACTCATAAAACATCTTCAGTAATTCTCACAATGCTGGTCTGATTATCAAGGGACTAACCATCACATGAATATAGATATAAAAGAAGAAATTGTAAGGTTAAGGTATCTGATGAACAATCTCATTATAATGAGGCACAGTCAGAAAAACTACCTAAGTGTTGCAAGATGACTTACTTTTGCAAACATTAATAACACATCCACATCACTCGTCCCAACCAAATACCATCTACTGTGCAGGGAAAGTACCACACACTTCAAATAGGCAGATCCCATTCTCAGATTTAAAATTCTGTCTTAGAAGCATCATGTTAACTGTGAGATACTGAAATGGTTTATGTGTTTATGTCATCATCTTCTGATAGTCTGCTCATTGGGAAAGTGCTCAACTGTTTTGTCATCTTTGGTAGGACTAGTTAAAAGCAGAGAATAAAGTCAATGGAGTCTGGCAAGTGGGCTTTATATAGAGATAATAAAACGACTGAGGGAGGTTGGCCACTAAAAAAGCTACTATGGTAGCTTTGACTATATTTTTTCTGTCCTAAAATGAACATGATAATTTAGCCATGATCATGTCTACAGTTGATATAAATTCATGAGCAGCAATTCACTGGAAGGTTCTAAATTATTAGCTCTATCTGGACTGGTTGAGACTTGATTGTAGACCAAAGCGTCTATAAAGTTATCAGAAAAAAATGCATACAAAACTTAAAACAGACAGAGAATTTATTCAAGAATGTTATGAAAAAGGAAGAAACCATTGGTTGCACTGTAAAAGAGTAAAGTCATTAAGGATATCAAGGAAGTAGTACATACGAAAGGTAAAAGTGGTAATGTGTCTTTCTAGTCTATTGCTGTATTCCTATTGAGTCTATAACTGGTACATCTTGATAAGTATTGTTAAGTGATATGTTGTATAGAGAAGATGGTGTGAAGACATAGAGTTTATGAAGTGTGTGCAATATTTACCAAGAGGAGAAAAGAAAGATAACTGAAGCAGAAAGTAGTTTGGGTTCAGAAAGTTATTGCTGACTTTTGGGAGATGAGCTTCAGATGAAATGAGAATGGACAGGAATCAAGCTATGTGGTAGAGTATCTACTTGGTTCAAATATTATGCACTCACTATTTATTTTGTTATAGAAAACCAAAATATTTTTGGCCTGATAGCATCTATAATCAAGATAAATAAGGTAACACTTTCTTTTCATCTGCAATTGCTCCTATAGCTTCATGCTTTACTGGAAAGAATATAATTGATGAAACCCAAGAAACCAAATCACTTCAACATATAATTCAACACACTAATTCAGTCCTTGGATAAAGTGGGCTTTGTCCCAGGTGCTTAAGTATTGATTTCACCAGGAGCAATAAACAGCCACCAAGAATGATATATAGTATTAATTATTTTCAGTTAGTTTTCTAAACATTAAATTGTGAGGCTCATGTACCTATGTGAGAGTCTGTATGTATATGTATGAAAGGTAGCATTTTTATAAATCCCAGCTTCTTTGTCTATGTACCAGATGACTGTTAAATATCATATTTTAATGTTACTAATTTCTGAATAGAAGAAAAGTTTATTGAGGAATCCAAAATACTTTCACCAAAGGTAATCACATTCTAGTAAAGAAATGTTAGGTGTGCCCCTTAGGACTCTGTTTTGCTTCTTTGTTTTGTTTATTCATATATTTCTGTTAGTATCGTTACATATAAAGTACAACCTTTATGTTCAGGAGAGAAAAGTAACAAAAGCACAGAGTTAAGAAAAACATCAATTTACTCTGCAGGTACCAGCAGAATGTTTACTTCAGAACCTAAAATGAATGGTTATGTAGTACTCATTTACAGCATATTTTATTACAAGGCCATGGGAGAGATTTTGTTAGAATGAATATATAATCAGTACAAAAGAGATGGAAACTGCACATGAATCTCAGAGACATTCCCTCAAAGTTAATGGATGTTTTCATAGATGACCTAGTGCAACTATACAGCATCAAACAGACCCAGAAAACTGGAGTACAAAGGGAAAAAATTCTCTGAATTCAAGGTCCCAATTTGTTCACTTTCTTGTCACTACCTACGTGTGCTTGTAGCAACTCACATAAGTTTTCAAATTTCCAATTTTGTTTATTTTAATTTATATAAAAATCTAAGCAAACATTGAGAGATTGTTTAAAATATGGGTAGTCTAAAATATGAAAAAATACAAATTTATGATGAGATTGAGTTTATTAAGTAATTTCACTTTGACTTGTTGGTTTATTCATGTGCTTACATATCCAAAAAAAAAAAAGGTATCAGGTTTGGGGGCAGAGACTAAATAGAGAATGAATGTAAATGTAATAAAGCAACAAAACCAACATTAATCATAACAACAATAATTTTTGTAGTTAATATGTTATGAAAGTCTGTATCATGCCAATATCCTTATGCAGAGACATAGTCTTTTTAAAGAAAGGTTTGTGAATAGGACCAAAGCCCTTATGAAGAAGGTCTAAAGAAACTTGTTTGTTTCTTTCTTTCTTTTTTTTTTTTTTGAAGGATACCAGCTGGTTTCAGTTTAATGATGTATTAGTCACTTTTGCTATGGTAACAAAAACCCCAAGATCTCAGTATTTACTACAGAAAACATTTGCCTTTCACTTTACAATCCGTGGTTTTAGGTCAGCTGCTCTGAGCTTTGTTCAGACACCCAGGCTGAAGGCAATGCTCCTATTTGAGAAATGGGGCCTCAGAGTAGAGGGAAAAGAACACAAGCCTACTTGTCATCCATATCCATTGGCTCCTCCAGCTTCTGTCAGACGTGGCATGAGTCACATCTGCTCATAGCCCTTGCTCCCCTTGGGAGATGGGGCGGGCACTGAGGAACGCCACTTGGCATCAGGTAAGAGTACAGAGTCTCTAGGATGAATAAGCCCAAGACAAAAACCATCTATGGCAGACAAAGACTTTCCAGATCAAGAGGTATGAAATCCTAGCAGGCACAGTGGTGCGCATGCTAACCCAGCATTCTTCTGCTGAGCAGGAGCATGACTGGAGCTGAGGAATTGGGAAGCGCTCAGACTGCTGACTGGTCTGCTGCTCAGGGGAACAGGTAGACTTCTGAGACATCCCGAGGATCCCAGTTTGTACAGTCACTGACGCTGAATCAGGATATGGCTTCATGGCTCCATTAACCTCATGGCATCCGCAGCATCCTTATAGTTCTCCATTCTGGTGAAAAACTGGACCAGTCTCAGCCCTACGCCTTAGAATACTATGCAGGATTGGTTACTGCCTTGGAGTGCCTTCCATGTGTGCCTGATGCCACAGAGGTTAAGGCTGTTGATGTGCTGTGAGACAGTCTACAGGCCAGGGAGTCACCAAGGCCAGCTAGTCTGGCAACTGCAGCAGAGGTTCCTTCAGAGATGGGCTCCAAGGATGCTCTCTCTGACCAGGGCGGAGCTGTGAATCTGAGGAGGGTGAGGCCCAGCTGGAGCCTGGCACTCAGCCAGACAGGCCGAGGTTCAGGGAGGTCAGCAGCTTCTTCCCAGCATGAGGCTAGGAACCACTGTCCCTGGGGATAGAGAAGTGCTGGACTCCAGGCAGAGGAAGCTGAGGAGACCCCAGGTCTGGCTTCCACTTTACCTGTGTACCCTTTTCCCCTGAAGATAACTCTTAAGGAAAGACGAGGATGCTACACAGATGAGAAATGCTGGGGTGAGGGCTTTCACAGAGTACCTGGGGTGCTGCAACACCTGCAACAGAGTGCTCCCAGGGGACACCTGGTATAGCTCTGCCCTTTCCTCATCCTCGAAGTAGACCTCCAAATTATCTGGGTGATATTTCTGCTCTGAATCCCAGCAGGGTGCTTCACTAAACATCGCCATGAGATGGTCAATAAACCTGGAGTCCTCATGAAAAGCAGAGATGAAGTCAGACTGCGCATACTCTGGATACAGGAACAGCACAGGCCAGCTCAGTCTGCCTTGATTATCTAGGCTCAGCCTGGCTCCACAAGAGTTCTCAGAGCTGAGCCCATCCAGGAAGATCTCAGATGGACCTTCGGAGGCTGAATCTTCATCCTTACCCAGGGCTTCTGAGACAAGTCTGATATTCCTAGCCTTGATGGCCTGGAGTAGAGCCTCGTTCTGACTCTGTTCCTTTTTTTCTTTCAGCCTTGCTTTCCTCAGATCCATCTCTTTCATTCTCTTCAGCTTGTCTGCTTTCACCCTCACTTCTAGAAGTTTCTTCTCTTTGGCATCAATCTGTAGCCCCTCATCACACCAGTTCACAGCCTCAGCAAAGTGGTTCAGTTCAAGATGGCACATGGCACCTCTTATTATGGCCTTCAGGTGGCTGGGCTTTAGCTTCCTGGTGGCCAGCACATCATTGAGAGCAGAGCGAAAATTGCCCAGATAGTACTGGGCTGCCGCCCGGTTGGTATAGAGGACAGCTTTCAAATCAGGGTCTACACACTTCTTCTTTAATCCCTCGCTGTAGGAAACCACGCCTTTCTTATAGTCCTTTTCTTTAAAGTAGTCATTGCCTTCATCCTTATAGGTCTTGGCTTGATCTTCCGGAGATCGCTCATCGTCATAAATAATTGACTGAAGGCAAGCCAAGTCGGGGAACTCCTTGGGATCTATTTCTGATGGTGCTTTCTTCATAAATAGGGGGATCTTGTCAAATTCCTCCTCCCACTGGTCCTCGTGGAAGCCGCCGCGGTAAGGTTGGCTCTGGAACTTTTCTAGGAATGCGTCCATGTTAGCGTCATCCGTAGGGTCAGGCTCAGAATTCTCCATTGCAGCTCGTGACTCTAGGGCTGAATCCGGAGGAGCCAAGAAGCGTACCGCCACTTGTTTGTTTCTTTTGATATTGAGAACACAGCCAGAAGTCACTATTTAGTGAACAGTCGGAGCTTCAGTTCACACCCACACTAAAACCTTAGTCTTGAACTTCTATTTTTTTTTAATAATTTCTGTTGTTTACAGATTACTATACATAGGTATTTCTTGTTATAATAGCCTGGCTAATACAAGACAATGATCCCATCTTATATACAATCATTGTACAAAGTTTTCCCTCGTTTTATTTTGGTTTATAATAAGTAGGTCTATAAGAATTGATAAAAATCACAACTTACCTTAGAAAGAAATGAAGCTTCACAGATTGTATATGTTGTTCTAAGACATGCTAATATATTGTACCAATGTTCAAAATAAACTTTCTGAGCCTAGGTGGCTAAGTGGGACATCTTTATTACTTTCATGTTTAACAGTCCATGCTAAAGTGCTTTTCAATATAATCATTAATCAGCTCTAACATTAGCTGCATACCTAGTAGATATCATTCATAATTTGTCATGCTATCAATTATTAATCATTTGATCCTCATGGAAGTTTGGCAGATTCAGCTTAAGTCAAACTTTCAACCAGCTACAAACCAGGAAAACAAAGGATTTTCTGAAAGACAAAAATGAAAAATTTTGAAAAGTATACTTTCATTGATAAGTCTGTTTATGTAAGAACCAGAGCAAAAATACTTTGTGAGAGACATCTTTATCCTTTACATTATAAGCTAAGTTGTGTACTTAATTTTAGTTTTCAATTATTTTGATGTAACTCACTGATCATATAGGATTTATGAAGGGGAACAAATTCATACTCTCAGAGGATCAAACTGGACATGTCTTACCTAACATCACAGCAACTTTTAGATACTGAACTTAAAGAACTTCAAATTGAATTCTGAAAGAGGTGGAATATTCTTTTGAACTATAACCCCAAGATATCGCTACTCATCTTTCTTCTCTGATGTTTATTCAGGCTACGAGCCTGCTCTTTCCTCTGTTCTATAAACCCAATCCCCCTACATTATCTAGTTAACAAAAGAGAAACTCTATACTCTAAAGTTAAAAAAAATATTGATTAATATTTTTTTTAGAAAAAAATTTGGAAAATTTATGGGGTGTATGTTTATCTTAAATTATTAACCTTCTATTTGGTTCTCCAGGCACACAATTAACAAATAAAATTATTTGTGATGAAATGATTGTCCAAACTAGGACTGTCTGAGACTGTCCTGTGAAATCCATAACTTGTAATCTCATTTAAAATGGAATAAGGTGAATCCAAAGACAAACACATAGGCATCCTCAGGAATATTAACCTTCATCGGGCGATGAAAGGAGACAGAGACAGAGACCCACACGGGAGCACCGGACAGAAATCTCAAGGTCCAAATCAGGAGCAGAAGGAGACAGAGCACGAGCAAGGAACTCAGGACCACGAGGGGTGCACCCACACACTAAGACAATGGGGATGTTCTATTGGGATCTCACCAAGGCCAGCTGGCCTAGGTCTGAAAAAGCATGGGATAAATCCGGACTAGCTGAACATAGCGGACAATGAGGAATACTGAGAATTCAAGAACAATTGCAGTGGGTTTTTGATCCTACTGCACGTACTGGCTTTGTGGGAGCCTAGGCAGTTTGAATGCTCACCTTACGAGACCTGGATAGAGGTGGGCAGTCCTTGGGCTTCCCACAGGTCAGGGAACCCTGATTGCTCTTCGAGCAGATGAGGGAGGGGGACTTGATCGGGGGAGGGGGAGGGAAATGGGAAGCGGTTGTGGGGACGAGGCAGAAATCCTTAATAAATAAATAAATTAAAAAAATGGAATTAAAACACACACACACACACACACACAAACCAAAAATAAAGAAAAAAAACATTGAATTGAAAATGTTGTGAATCTGTGGACAATGCTGTTTCAAGAACACATATATTATTTAAGAAAATTCCTAGTGCAAGTATTGGATACCTCGCTATGAGTTGTTGGTCAGGAGAGCTGCATCCCTCTCCTCCCCAAAATAATTGAGGTTATTCCCATTTGTAGGTAACTCTATCAGAATCTGATGGTATGACTTCAAAGTTGAAGGCACCACACACTTTGGATGTTGGGCATAGAGAAATTAACCTAGAGCTGAACTGTAAATTTCCTCCATATTTGTTAGCTTATATAGTACCAGAAGCTTTTTCTCATCTACTATCCTGCTAGAGAAAACCAATCGACGGTCGTTCCTAATTGTTGACCTGAGTGCCATGCTACTGACTTGCCAAACACGATGTGCCTCCTGGTGTAATAGTGGCACAAGTGCTATGGGGTAACCAACTGATTTATGTCTTCAGTTAGGACCTAATCTACTATGTTGAAATGGTGCACAACACTGTAAGGTTGGTCTTAAACCCATGAATAGGAAGGTCAAAGGCCCTAGGAGCAAATCTCATATTGGAGTAGATTTTCCTGGATAAGCATATTACATAACTGAATTCTACAGTTGTATTTATAGCCATGAATTTGTGTTCCTCTCAGTCACAGTCAGTGAAGTGTCTTTATGCAGTGGTAAACAGTGAATGTAGACTCATAACAAGTCGAAGTGATAAGAATTAATATAGTACTTAGTCCTACATAGGGCATTTATATCTCTCTTTCCATGGTTCAGGAAACTCTTTGGAATCGCAAGCAGAATGAATGTAGAGAGAACTGCAGTAAAAACTGTCTTCTGAATGTAATATGCCTGTTGAACTGATCAGCTCACAGTAACTGTAGTAATCTGTACAAGAATGTATGGTGATAATCAACCATGCATGATAAATGGATTCATGAGACCCCATCCATTCCCAAATTAATGGTATCTGGGAATGGAAAGTCATATTCTTTCTTGGTATAGACACTTATAAGTTGACATTGCTCAAATAAATAAACCCCTATTCATGCTCATAAAAACATGCTGAGTTTTAAGAAAAGTGGCATAAAATAGAAAAGAGATTTGCTGGGCAGAAGGGATTTGTGGGCATGGAAAGAAAGGAAATAAGAAAGGAGAGCTGGTGATGAATATTATCACAGTAATACATAGTATGCATATATATGAAAATTTCAAATAAAAAAGTAAATTATTATTTGAGGTTATAAATCATCATTCATCCAAGTTCCTGCCCCTTCACCTATGTTCTATATTTGGAGTTTTTCTCTCGGACTATTCTACTGAATGAATTATCTTAAGTCTTACTATTGTCTTCATTTCAAAGTGATGAGTATTATCATTTCTCTTTTTTTTTCCTTTTTTCTATTTTAATTACTGTTACGTGATATACCTTAAGCTATCCATTTATCTACAGATCCATATGTTGAACAATAGACTATAATTTCTCCCATAAGATATTCTGCCATGATTTCTACTAGGAGGGGGGTGCTTAGTGATTTAACTTGTTTCCCTGAGAACTTTAGTTCCCTCTTTTCTAATTTGTTCTAGCCCTATCTCACCCTTATCTCTTTTTAATTGTCTTTGTAATAAATTAATATCCAGTAGGTTTTTAAACTGGTTATTTCTTGCCCTGAGAACAAAGAGGTATGGTGCATTTTCCCAGCAGCCTCAGTTCTTTCTAGTGATAACAGATGATGAGCCTATAAAATTTATTAGGTAGAAAAGAATTGAAACACCTGAAAATATTGTGCATCTCTAACAACTAGATGCTCTGTCAAGCTACCCTATTAATGTTGTAGGATTTTTATTTTATTATGCTCATTAGTTTTTGAATTTTGAGCACTTGAAGCCGACAGTGAATCAGGGATAAGACAGAGGAGTTCTTGTTCTTATTCCACATCTAGGGAGGCTATGCAAAGCTCTAACAAAGGATGTACCCACTCAGGAGGCACAGCACAGTGAGCCTGGAGAATTGTTTCCATCCGAATGCTCCCGGCTTGTAAAATCCATAACTTCCATGACCATTTTCAGATGGCAGAACTAAGGAGCATCTGCAGAATCCACTATGATTTACAGAGCTTTTAAAGCCAATGTTTCACAAACTAATCACTTCAGAGGTACACATTTTCATTTTCCAGATGCAAACTAATCATGGGAGATTTTGCATTTCTAGTGCCTCTCGTTGTCTTCCCATTTTTTAGCATGTGAAAGAAAAATTGTCTAGAATTTACTAATGTAGGAAATGACCCAATTCTGTTCTTCAGGTAAAGATATGGGTGCTACTTTTAAATGGCCTATAAATACAATGTTTGCCAAATTAATTTAGAAGTTAGTGTGACCTCTAAGACAACTGTCCCTGATAGCAGTGAGGAAACAAATGAAAAGAAGCCCTGGGTCCCTTAATGTTGGTTTACCTGTAACTTAAGAACGGCAAATGGGCAATTAGCAACAATATAAGATACTGATTATTTTCTGAACTAAGGTCAAATGTAAACATGTGCTAGCCAAAGCTTAACTGTTACAAATATAGCTACAGTCTTAAAAACAAATTCTTATACAACATGTGAGCTTTTATTTTTAAAGTCCAAGTTGCTTTACAGACACTATTATACACTTAGATATTGCTATACATAAGCTTAAAAGAGTCAGTGAACCTTGAGTGTTAAAAGCTGGACTGCCACTCAAAGTAACCCAATGGGAGAGAGAAGCCACACCTCTATGTTCTCAAGTTCATGGTTGCTTCACAATTCCTAGTTCATGAATCAAAATAGTAATGTCTATTGATTGTCAAAACAAATATGTAAAAGACATTGGATGATAGACTTCAGGGTCCCATAATGCTCACTGCCTATCCTCTGTGAGCACATGAAGCCCCCTCTGTGAGCACATGAAGCCCAGAAGTAAATGATAGGTGTGGTCATTCACATCCCTTGGGCTCTGTTATACAGGGACAGGCTAAACACTAGCTGATAATAATTCAACCCTACTGCCGGATCATGCGTTGCTTCTTTTCTGTAGCTCATCTGGGTCTTATCAGGAGTTCACAGAATGAATAAAGTGCTACCAACTG